TGTTGCTATAGTCGCCGGCCTATCAGGGGGCGAGGCTCTTGATCTGTCAACATTCTCTGCGCCGGAGGGAGGGAGGGAGGGCAGCTGGTTGGGCTGTGTGCGTGTTTTTCCCCCCTTCCTTCCTTCCCGGCCCCACCCACCTCGCCTCTGATTGGCTCCGCGATGTCTCAGGACCCTGCGGGCGACGCTATCGACTGGCCCAGCCAGCCGTCCGTCAGCTGGGAAAGTAATATGCCCAAACTGTGTGGGGGTTTGTAGACTTGGGCTCAGAGAGCAACACTTTGGAGGAGCCTCCCTGCTCGCGCTTGTGAGCTCCCGAGTGCGGAAAAACAACAACACCAAGACCATTGCTAATTGCTCCTATTGCTGTTATATTTTTTCCCCCTTCCTTGCTGCTTAAATTGCAAAAAAAAGCAAAAGGCTGTGAAAATGGAGTGGAATTCCCTGCTGATGCTGCTGGAAGCTGCGGAATACTTGGAAAGACGAGAGAGAGGTACATACAGCAAGATTCCCTGCAAAAGTTGAGGGGTTTCCACCCCAGGGCTGCGATGCACCCCGGATTGATTTATTTTTATTGAAAAGTCACCTTGGGTGGGGGTGGGGGTGGGGAGATGGGTTTGTTTTGTTGCAAAAAGGATTTTTAAAAAAAAGGAAAGCAAAAGCCACGAAATGAAGGAAAATCCCCCCACCGTTGGGCTGGTGGCGCTGCAGGTCCGCCTTTGCTCCCTTTCTCCGCCAACTCGCTCCCTTTGCAACTGCTTCTTCCCTTTGCAATAAGTTGCTTGCAACGTTTGCACGGGCAGCAGCAGCAGCAGCAGCAGCAATACGCGGCAGTTGTCACGAGCTCAGCTTTTGTGTGTCTCTTTTTGCCTCTTCCCCCCCTAACCAGAAGCGGAGCACGGCTACGCCTCGGTGCTGCCCTTCGACAGCGGCTACGCCAGGAGGAAAAGCAAGGCCGGGAAGCCCCAGAGCAGCCGGTGAGTGCGGGGGGCTGCGATCCCCTACCCCCCACCCAGGAGCCCTCTGCTTAAATGCAGCTCTTCCCTCGACCTTATTTATGGGTGGGCTGCATGTCTTTCTGCACTACAACTCCCATCATCCCTGGCCGCTGCTCCTGCTAGCTGAGGATGATGGGAGCTGTAGTCCTCCCGCCACCTGATAGGACCCAGAGGCCGTGTTGATGCACTAGCACAAGGTATTTTGCAGCGACTTCAGCACCAGCACAGAAGCAGGAGGTCGCCATTTCCTTCTGCCGACCCCTCTTTTCTGGGCTGGGTTTATGCTTCGGTCTCTCCTGAAGAAGCTGCCACGCGTACAGCGGGGCTTCCTTTCTCCCAGGCAACCTCCACTGGTTGCTACCCAACCCCACCCCACAGTCCCCTTATGCTCCTTGGCTCCAGGGATTTCGACTTGGGCGAGGGCAGGATCGCTAACACCCTAAAATTGCCAACTTCAGTTTTCAAAAGCAGGTGCCTTGGGGGGGGGGGGGATGAAAAGCACGAAAATCGAACCTGCGGAACTTGTTTTAAATTGCAAGAATAAGCAGCGCAGCGATCTCTGATTATCTTTCTCAAATACAAAAAGGTGTTTCAGCGCACAGATCGTTCTGAACAATCTTGGGAACTGCGGTGTTAAAAGTATCTTGCGAGTTTCAGTTACAGGCGCATCAAAACTGCACTTTGTGCATCTTTTCCTTTGCAAATTTTGTCACCTGTTCCTTCGGGTCGAGTGCTGGTAATACGGGTTGAATTGGTTGCCACCCCGACTGGTCTGTTTCGCAACATTGTCGATCGCGTGTAAGCTTGAGCTTTGAAAAACAGCATTAAAAATAAAAAGTAAAATGTTATCAGGCAGTTATAACAAAAACTAATCTGTATAAAGCTGTGTCCTCTGAGGTCTGCATCCTAATGATCATGCCAGCCCCGCTGCTACCACATACCACACTTGTAAGCCTCTGTGTTTGTTTGTTTTTTGCTTTTTTTTGCATGCTTAACCTGGAAGTGATTTCCACTGGATTCAGTGGGACTTGCAGGTGAGATTCTGCATGGTCTCTATAAAAAGTACAACTTAATAGATGCACTAGGAGAGTAGCATGGTGGCAGAACGCTGTAAGATTGGCATAAAGGGAGTTATTTAATATTTCCTTGCATCTCCTTATATTTGTCCAGGTTTATAAAGGTAAAGGGACCCCTGACCATTAGGTCCAGTCATGGCCGACTCTGGGGTTGCGGCGCTCATCTCGCTTTATTGGCCGAGGGAGCCGGCGTACAGCTTCCGGGTCATGTGGCCAGCATGACTAAGCCGCTTCTGGCGAACCAGAGCAGCGCACGGAAACGCCGTTTACCTTCCCGCCGGAGCAGGTACCTCTTTATCTACTTGCACTTTGACGTGCTTTCGAACTGCTAGGTTGGCAGGAGCAGGGACCGAGCAACGGGAGCTCACCCCGTCGCGGGGATTTGAACCGCCGACCTTCTGATCGGCATGTCCTAGGCTCTGTGGTTTAACCCACAGCGCCACCCGCGTCCCTATCCTGGTTTATAATGACACATGATTAAAAGTGTATCCCGGGGGCTCTGGATGCTTTACCCTGAGCTTTCCCGCTCTGCTTAACTGGATGTGTGCCTGGATAGAGTGGGATGGTGCCTTTATTCTTTGCTTGTTCAATATACAGTAAGTGTTTGAAAAGGGAGTTTCATCTGGCCGTTTATACTGGTTGTTGAAGAGAGCACCAGGGAGGCCTTGGAAGCAGGAACTTGTGAAGCACAAACTACACACACACACACACCTTCAAACCCCACCCCCCTTGCAGGGACTCCTGTCCTAATGATCAGAAGGAGCTGCTTAGGATTGTTTTGCAGACTCAGCAGATTTGTCTGGCTTGCCCCAAACAAAGTCCGGGACACCCCTGCGTGTTAAAGAACGTGCCTGCTTCTTCCTTGACTTCCTGAAATACCCATTCATTGTTCTTGATGCCCTCCTTTGCTTATCCTTCTCTTTGTTCATGCAAAGTGTCATCTTGGAGTGAGAGAAAAAAACTACCTACAAAGGAATCTGAAATAATCGCAAGCGCTCGCCATATCAGACAAGCTTCTCAGTCGCTTGCAGCCAAGAAAATGTTGCAGTATAACTGAAATCAGGAATGAGTCTAGTGACATTTCAATGCATTTTTATTACTATAGCCAATTAGATACTTAAGGCACCACAATATATCTGTATTGCAACATTTAATATACAATTAAATGCAGGGCTCCTTTCAACTCATACGAGCCCTGTCGCATTATATCACAGGCCTCTCTGGTCCAGATCCTGTTTCTCACATTAACTACCCAGATGACTCTAAGAAGCCTACAAAAAAACCATGAAAGCACTTGTTGTTGTTTAGTCATCTTAGTCGTGTTCGACTCTCCATGACCCCATCAACCAGAGCATGCCTTGGAAACTCTCACTTTCTTCTCAAAGCTTCTCCTTTTTTATGTCCATGGAGTTTTCTTGGCAAAATACTGGAGTGGATTGCCAGTTCCTTTTCCAGGTGGATCACATTTAGTCTAAACTCGCGGCTATGACCTGTCCGTCTTGGGTGGTTCTGCACAGCATAGCTCATAGCTTCTCTGAGTTATTCAAGCCCCTTCGCCACGACAAGGCAGTGATCCATCCCCTAATATTGCCCCTCCCAGAATCAAAATTAAGTACCCAGTTTTCTTAACCTTGTTACAAACCATCTCTGGGTTCAGGGGTGCCAACTATGGGGGACTCTGGATGTCTGAGCCCCCACAAAACTTTGTAGTGGATGCTCAGGTACCCACACCTTAGGGTTACCTGTGCAACTTCCAAGGTCTCGCACTGGGCACCCGTAACCTGGGACCCAAGTCAGCTCCCCTGTCTGGGTTCAAAGACACAGCAGCAGATGGAAGTTTTAGCCATCGGAAAGGAACGTTGTTTTTTACTTTGTAGTTGGATCCACTCAAAAAATCTGATGTCGAATTTTGTTTCTGGAAGTCCACCTTGTAGATGCTGGAAGACTTTAAAGGAAGAACCCTGGGAGCGAACTCTCCTCAGCCGCAGCCAGCATGGCAAATGGTCAGGGTTGGCAACAGTTGTAGTCCAACAACAGTTCAGTCACCCTGATACAGACAACCTTCCTCCAGTTGTTTCACTTTCAAGAAATAGTATGCACAGCCTCAAGAAATTCGAAGTCTCTTCTGTGCATTGCAGGGTCACCGTTTCAGATTAGGGAGGTGGGTGGAATTCTCGGCAGGCAGGGTTTTCAATATATTCAGAGTTAAATACCCCGTTATAAGAGGATCTGTTGCATTTTTGTGCTTCATAAAAGCGGTAACGGTGTAATAATGTCAAACGCATTGTTTACATGTTCCGTATAGATCCGTAAAACGTTGCCCCAATGTGCCTTCTTAAAAAGAAAAACTGCTATGAGAGGGACTGAACAAAATGGGTGCACTTCTTCCTGCTTCAAATTAATCTTTCCAGCTCTTAATTAATCTGCATTATTTGCAGAGGTGGGGGGAAGAAATTTCCCCTAAAATTTCCTTTCCCCAACAGGTGCTCAACACCGATGCATGCAAGAAATTGTTGCTTGGGGGCCAATATTATTCATTTAGCAATACTGAAGAAGAATAAGCCCTACCTTTCGTTTCCTAACACGAAACACTCGAGGCGGCTAACATCACAAGGAAATGCAAGGTTGAGAACCTCGTCCTTCATTTGCAAATGCCACGTTTGCTTCTTTCGTACACCATTTTGTGGAGCTAGAAGACTAGGGTAGGAATAACCTCACCGTGTGAAATTTCTCATGGGAAGTCGCTGAGTACAAGGGTCCCCTCATGGTCTGCAACCTAATAATCCTGAAGAGGCAGAGCAGCCATGGGATTGCCCAGGTAGAGCGATGGAAGCTATATATAACAAACAAATCTGAATTAAACCGCAGTAGGATGAGGGTTCATGCAAATTCATCATGCGAAAGGCTGGGCTGGATGAATCCCAAGCTGGAGGTAAGATTGCCGGAAGAAATATCAACAACCTCAGATATGCAGATGACACAACCTTGATGGCAGAAGGTGAGGAGGAATTAAAGAACCTTTTAATGAGGGTGAAAGAGAAGAGCGCAAAATATAGTCTGAAGCTCAACATCAAAAAAACGGAGATCATGGCCACTGGTCCCATCACCTCCTGGCAAATAGAAGGGGAAGAAATGGAGGCAGTGAGAGGTTTTACTTTCTTGGGCTCCATGATCACTGCAGATGGTGACAGCAGTCACGAAATTAAAAGACGCCTGCTTCTTGGGAGAAAAGCAATGACAATCCTAGACAGCATCTTAAAAAGCAGAGACATCACCTTGCCAACAAAGGTCCGTATAGTTAAAGCCATGGTTTTCCCAGTAGTGATGTATGGAAGTGAGAGCTGGACCATCAAGAAGGCTGATCGCTGAAGAATTGATGCTTTTGAAGTATGGTGCTGGAGGAGACTCTTGAGAGTCCCATGGACTGCAAGAAGATCAAACCTCGCCATTCTTAAGGAAATCAGCCCTGAGTGCTCACTGGAGGGCAGATCGTGAAGTTGAGGCTCCAATACTTTGGCCACCTCATGAGAAGAGAAGACTCCCTGGAAAAGACCCTGATGTTGGGAAAGATGAAGGGCACAAGGAGAAGGGGACGACAGAGGACGAGATGGTTGGATAGTGTTCTCGAAGCTACCAGCATGAGTTTGACCAAACTGCAGGAGGCAGTGGAAGACAGGAGTGCCTGGCGTACTCTGGTCCATGGGGTCACAAGAGAGTCGGACACGACTAAACGACTAAACAACAACAACAGGATGAGGGATGCAGGTTAAGCAGCAAATCATGGGCTGGGTATTCCAGTCCTGACCCATCAAAGAAATTGAAATGTCATTGAAGAGGCAAGGCAAGCTCATTGGCAGTAGGTTGAGCATCCGCAGCAGTATTGTTCTCTGTGTTACACAATTTGCTTTTCTGCCTTTCTAACTTGGGCGAACACAGTTCACACATCCGATGAAGCTGACTTCAATTCAAAAAAGCTTCCGCCATATTAAATTTGGCACCACCAGACTGTTGTTTCTGCTGCAGCGACCTAACAAGGCTACCCCTCTGGAAAGCATATTTCTGCCAGCCATGGAGCTTTTAAAGACACAGGAGCGCTGTCGAGAAAAAGGAGGCATTTCTCAGAATAGGAAAAGGGGACTTCAGATCCAGCGGCCAATTGTGGCCCTCCAGGCCGCTCTGTCTGGCCCTCTGAACCCACCCTTCTGAAACCCACTCCTCCCCAGCCCTGCATCCGCCTTGAGTGTTTTCCCCTGGCTGGGTTTCATCCTTGGACCTCTTCTCTGCCTGGGTAGTGCACAGAAACAGGTATGCGGTCGTGTAGAAACAAGCTTACTCTGCAAAGATAACCTTCTGCATTCATTGCTCTGCCCATTTTTGGCGCTTTGGGTTAAACCACAGAGCCCTAGGACTTGCTGATCAGAAGGTCGGCGGTTCGAATCCCCGCAACGGGGTGAGCTCCCGTTGCTCGGTCCCTGCTCCTGCCAACCTAGCAGTTCGAAAGCACGTCCAAGTGCAAGTAGATAAATAGGTACTGTTCCGGCGGGAAGGTAAACGGCATTTCTGTGCGCTGCTCTGATTCACCAGAAGCGACTTAGTCATGCTGGCCACATGACCCGGAAGCTGTACGCCGGCTCCCTTGGCCAATAAAGCGAGATGAGAGCCGCAACCCCAGAGACGGCCACGACTGGACCTAATGGTCAGGGGTCCCTTTACCTTTAATGGCATGGAAGGTTGCTGAGAAGGTTTCAACCCTCAGGTTAAAAAGGTTTCCCCTACCTTGGAGTAAGCTAACCACAGGAAAACAAGCAAGGGAGAAAGAGGCAGATACTATTATTATTATTATTATTATTATTATTATTATTACTACTACTACTTATTTATTTATTTATTTATTTATTTAGGAAAGCACTCAGCTGAACGCATTTTGGTGGGACTCATGCACAGTCTCATAATACATTGATGTTCCAGACTATATAGCTCAGGCATTTCTGCATTTTCCTACAAAATTAACAATGTTGACTCTCCTCCCTTGATAGGTAGCAGCCTTATAAAGTTGCACCGATAGAATAAGGCACTGGCTTGCTAACGGAGAGCTTGAGGCTAAAGCTGTGTTTTATATTGTAAATTGCTCTGTGATTTTCGGGCGAAGGGTGGTATCAACTTTTTATGCCGTGAATCAGTAACAGTCTTCAGACCGTTGAGATTTTCAGATAGTGGCAGACTTAGTTACTAGCCGATACTAATAATACGCCACTAGATTTTGTGACTGTCACGAGCTGCGGTCGTAAAGAACCTCCTGGCATCTGTTTACTGAGTTGATGTGGAGGGGGAAGAAAGGATTAACGAAATCATGGTGGACAGGTTAGACTAAGCTCTTGCAATGTCCGAGGAGAAGAGCTAAATGTTTCGACAGGATGGATAAAAGAGTAGGGACAAAATCCGGGACTTGAGCAAATAAATGTTTGGCAGACAGGGCCAAAGGGGTGGCCAAAGAAAAGGTGAGATGGGGACTAGCTTACACATGGTTAGGGTTAGCGATGTCGCTGCTCGGCTTGTGTGCCAGTAAAAGTTTTGTATAATACTCAGCTGCTCTGCTGCCGCCTGTGTCCTTCGCAACAGCCTGACCCAAAGAATTTGCCTTTTAAATTTCTTAGCCACCTTTCTCAGAAACCAGATTACAGGAAGATAGAATACTGAAAACATGCAATCTTTAAAACCACAAACGGTAAAAATAACGCATCCATATGATACTAAAAGGACACTTCCCCGTCAAAGTTAACGAAATCAAAACCAGCAGAATATACGGTTAACCAAAACAAAACAAAAAATTAATGGTCTTTAAAAACAACCCCAATCACTTGCCTTCACATGCCTGGTGCTGAAGAGACACCTGGTGGGCTTTGCTGGGAGAGCATTCCACAGACTAGTGGAGGGGCCACAACCCAAAAGCCCCTGCCCCCCTGTTGCCGCTCCGTGAGCCTCTCTGAGGTAACAGGCGAAAGTGGGAAGCTTCTCCCAGCCTCTCTCTTAAACTGTCCGGTTTTGGAACTGTGAAATGATGGCCCTTCCCACCATAACAGGGCAAATGTTCTCTTGATAACAGTTGCAATGACATAGGCTGCGTCTTGTACCTCTTGTCCAAAGTAGGATCTGCCACATAACAGGCTCACATTGCCAGCCATTAGTTCATCTGTTCCCAAAGGAACATGAGAGCATTCTTCTGCTGATCATACGGCTTAAGTGTACTACATTTGGCATTTATTGTAGAAAACATGGTGCCCCCCAGATGCTGTTGGGAAGCAGCTTCCATCAGCTCTGACATTGGTCATGCCGGCTGGGTCCAAAGGCAGCTGTGGTCCAGCAACATCTGGGGGCACCATTGCTCCTACAATGGCTAACTGCCATAAGCAATACAGTGGTACCTCGGGTTACATACGCTTCAGGTTACAGACTCCGCTAACCCAGAAATAGTGCTTCAGGTTAAGAACTTTGCTTCGGGATGAGAACAGAAATCGTGCTCCGGCGGCGCGACGGCAGCAGGAGGCCCCATTAGCTAAAGTGGTCCTTCAGGTTAAGAACAGTTTCAGGTTAAGAACGGACCTCCGGAACAAATTAAGTACTTAACCTGAGGTACCACTGTAGTGCTGTTTAAGAGACATGTGGCCTGCAGACTTCAGTCCTACAAAACCATCTTCCTTTTTTTTTAATTTTTTTTTTTTACTATTTTTGTATGCGGAGGGGTTATTTAATTTTGTGAAGTGTGAAATATAAAAATCCCAACCAGATTCAAGGTTGAGCCTTGGGGGAGAAAATAAGATGTGCTAATAGTGTTCTGGATATGTCAAAATAGGTCCCTAAGATATTTTTTTTAATGGATTTCTGACAGGAACTGATTGAAAGTGCATTGTTTTATTTGAATTTCGGGTTATTAGCAAGTAAAACTCTATAATATATCATACTTTCTGTTGTTGTTGTTTCTGTAGGTCTTCACATAATGAACTAGAAAAGCATAGGTAAGTAGTACGAATCAAACAGAACCAGTACGGACACTATTATTCTGCCGTGGCACAATCCTGCAAGAGAAACATTTTTAAATTGGAAATAACAGGGAATTATATCTGTTTAACTCGTGTTTATTTTATGAAAGTGTTTGCTGTCAAGTTCCAACCACTCGTTTTCAGAAACAGGCATCTAAACGTTGAACTATACTATGTGAATAATGCTGTTTATACTTAAGGTTTCAATGACATTAAAATATTTCTGAATCTGTCTACTGTAGCTCTTAAGGGGCACGTTCCTGGGTAATAATTGGCAGCTCTGTTGCTTGCTGGAGCATCAGAAACAAATGGCGCCTTTCCACAGACACTAGAAAAGTAAGGCAGTGCCTAGTGATTACAGAGAACCGAGAGAGAAATTGCACATGGTTTCTCACCTCTGACAGCAGAACCTCCTGAAGGGTGTCTATAGAAGCACCAGAAAGTTTGAGCAGTTAACAGGGTAGGCAGACAGGGCATTTGCAATGCATTCTTCCAGCAAGGGCAGACATAGAGCTGGAGAAATAGGGCTGGAGTGAGGAGAAAGGGAGAGAATCAATGCAACAAATTGCCTCCCCATATTGGTGCTGGGCTCCTAGATGTAGGGGCACACGCAGTCGAGAATAGAATTTCGCTCCAGCAACTTGATTTCCCCCTCCAACTTAGTGCTAGCGCCCATGCCCCCACACACAAACACACGGGTCCCAGATTAAATAAACCAACCTGCTGTTCATTGTTGTTGTTTAGTCGTTTAGTCGTGTCCGACTCTTCGTGACCCCCTGGACCAGAGCACGCGAGGCCCTCCTGTCTTCCACTGCCTCCCGCAGTTTGGTCAAACTCATGCTGGTAGCTTCGAGAACACTGTCCAACCATCTCGTCCTCTGTCGTCCCCTTCTCCTTGTGCCCTCCATCTTTCCCAACATCAGGGTCTTTTCCAGGGAGTCATTTCTTCTCATGAGGTGGCCAAAATATTGGAGCCTCAGCTTCAGGATCTGTCCTTCCAGTGAGCACCCAGGGCTGATTTCCTTCAGAATCTTGATCTTCTTGCAGTCCATGGGACTCTCAAGAGTCTCCTCCAGCACCATAATTCAAAAGCATCAATTCTTCGGCGATCGGCCTTCTTTATGGTCCAGCTCTCACTTCCATACATAACTACTGGGAAAACCTGCTGTTCACTGGAGCTCAAATAAAAGGCACCAGTAGGGTGGTGCTTGTGTGCTGGCTGCCCCTCTCACTCACTCATTCATTCACTCACTCATTCACAACTCTTTCTGTTTCAGCAGGAGGCAGGGCCAAGGCAGCAGCAGACAGTGCACAGAAGGCATGCTCCGAACAAGAGCGGAGCCTCCTGCAGCCTGGATCTCAAAGCCTGCTGCTGTCAGTCTGTGCAAGCTCAGTGGAGCAACAGCCAAAGGCATGGCCCGCTAATTGGAATGCCGTGACCCTCACCCTGTTCCCTATGTTCAGTGTGTGGCTATCTTAGACGCTAATCCTTGCATCCTGGTGGGGTTGAAATGCAAGTCTGCAAGATCTTAGGGTCCAGATGCCCTAGAAAAACACTATTTTTGAAAAGCAAAACATCTGCCTGGAGATGGGTGGAAAGGACCAGGCCATAACATTGTTCTGTGATTGATTGATTGATTGATTGATTGGCAGATATAGAGAGTTTCTAGGTGGAAATCGAAGGCTATCGGTCAGGGCCGTCTTTAGCATATGTGCTGCTGGTGTGCAAAGATGCGCCTCCAAATGTAGTTTAAGGTAAAGGGGACCCCTGACCATTAGGTTCAGTCGTGACCAACTCTGGGGTTGCGGCGTTCATCTCGCTTTATTGGCCGATGGAGCTGGCGTACAGCTTCCGGGTCATGTGGCCAGCATGACTAAGCCGCTTCTGGCGAACCAGAGCAGCACACGGAAACGCCGTTTACCTTCCCGCCGGAGCAGTACCTATTTATCTACTTGCACTTTGATGTGCTTTCGAACTGCTAGGTTGGCAGGAGCAGGGACCGAACAACGGGAGCTCACCCCGTCGCGGGGATTCGAACCGCTGACCTTCTGATCAGCAAGTCCTAGGCTCTGTGGTTTAACCCACAGCACCACCCAGTTTAGCTGCCCCCAAATTAACTTTTATTGAGCTTTTTTTGGAATGGGGGAAGCCAAAGTTGTTGAGCTTTGGGGAGAGGGGAATTGCTCACCTGTAACAACGACGCAGCGAAAATTTTTTGATATTTGATGCTACGGACTAACAGAGCGACGGAGGAGGGGAGTGGGGACTTTTGCTCCGTTGCTTTTCACTGCTGCCGATTGGGAGGGACCAGTATACAGTAGGTATATAATTGGCGCCCACCAGAATTTGGCACCCGGGTGCGCTGCACCCCTTACACCCCCTGGTAAAGACGGCCCTGGTATCAGTGTAGGAAGGGCAGGAGAGAGTGGCTTTGAGATTTGGGGTTAATGCTTAGCGATTTCCCCCTGGGCTCTGCCCTGTTGTTGTTGTTGTTTAGTCGTTTAGTCGTGTCCGACTTTCGTGACCCCATGGACCAGAGCACGCCAGGCACTTCTGTCCTCCACTACCTCCCGCAGTTTGGTCAAACTCATGCTGGTAACTTCGAAAACACTATCCAACCATCTCGTCCTCTGTCGTCCCCTTCTCCTTGTGCCCTCCATCTTTCCCAGCATCAGTGTCTTCTCCAGGGAGTCTTCTCTTCTCATGAGGTGGCCAAAGTACTGGAGCCTCAGCTTCATGATCTGTCCTTCCAGTGAGCACTCAGGGCTGATTTCCTTAAGAATGGATGCGTTTGATCTTCTTGCAGTCCATGGGACTCTCAAGAGTCTTCTCCAGCACCATAATTCAAAAGCATCAATTCTTCAGCGATCAGCCTTCTTGATGGTCCAGCTCTCACTTCCATACATCACTACTGGGAAAACCATGGCTTTAACTATACGGACCTTTGTTGGCAAGGTGACGTCTCTACTTCTCAAGATGCTGTCTAGGCCTGTCATTGGCTCTGCCCTAGCAACCCCAATAAGTCTTCACTGATACCAATCAATTTCTGAGCAGTCGGGGGGTCTTCACAGGTTCTTATTATAACTGTCAATGTGTCATTTAGCTTTTAGTCCAGGGGAAGCTTCCAACCGTGGAACAAGCCCTTGTTGCATTGTCTCCTCTGCCTCTTAACATTCTGTGTCCTTGTAGTGTGTTGAGTCTTTTACATGGTGCCAGCTGCCCTGGAAATCAAAACAGGATCTAAATGTATTAAAACAAAGAGTGTGACAATTGGGGGCGGGGGGGGAACAATGACAAGAAAAAGTGTGTTTGATGCTTTGAACTTTGTTCATCAGATCTTTACAAGGGTTGTCATTTTAGTGCTGGGATGAATGTCCTTTTTGCTTGTTTGAAGGTAGCATTGTGCAGAAATCCTAAAGTTATATGCTATCTATTGCACTCTAGTGAGCTAAAGTGCACTGTAACAACACTAAATGTGTTTGGGTTTTTTTTTTTTCATTTTAGACGAGCTAAACTACGACTATATTTAGAAGAGTTAAAACAACTTGTCCCTTTGGGAGCAGACAGCACTAGACACACTACACTCAGTCTGCTGAAAAGAGCCAAGATGCATATTAAGGTAAAAAAAAGCAAGTTAGCTTTTATTTTGTTTTACTTAAACAATCTGACACGCACACACCCTTTTCTTTTTAGTGAGAGGGCGGGATTGCAGATTTCCTAATTTAAAAGGTGCTGCTCTTACTTAATGGTATACTTTTTTCAGTCTTCGATGCTGATGTGGTAGGTTAAAACCCAAATACTTTAGTGAATGGAGAACTTATCCACTTTTTAAACAGTTTTTTTGTTTTTGTTTTTTAATGAGAGCACCGGATAATCAGTGCAGCCAGAACACTGTTTTTACTGTTAAATTACTGTTAAAATTATTCTAACTCCATAGAAATTGGAAGAACAAGACCGGAAAGCTCTAAATATTAAAGAACAGTTACAGCGAGAACATCGATACCTCAAGCGCAGATTGGAACAGCTCTCCATGCAGGGCCTGGAACGAATTCGCACAGACAGCCTGGGATCAACAATATCTACGGATTCTGAGCAAGGTAGGGGGGGGGGCGAAAGTCACCATGGGACTGTTAACTAAACTTAGGCTGTATATTTCTCTAGAGTATATACTGGGCATCCCAAAACAAGCATGTATGTTAGAATGTCCAGCGCCGGAAGTAGAGACAGTTCAAAGCATAATAGTCAATTCTTTAAAAAACAATAAATCAGGGGAATGCTGTGGATGTACTGTAACTTGACTGCAGTAAGGCTTTTGACAAAAGTCTCCTATTATATTCTTGCAGAGAAGCTGGTAGAATGTGGGCTGGACAAGGTAACTGTTAGGTGGATTTGTAGCTGGTTGACTGACTGAACCCACAGAGTACCCATTAATGGTTTCTCGTGACAAGTGGGGTGCTGCAGGTTCTGTCCTGGGTCTGTTGTTGTTCAACGACTTTATAAACGACTTGGGTGAAGGTATTGAGGGGACAGGGACACCAAACTCGGAGGGGTAGCTAATGCCGCAGAAGACAGAATTGGGATTCAAGATTACCATCACGGATTGGATTACTGGGCCCAAACTTAACAAAATGAATTTCAGCAGGGACAGGTGACAGGTTCTGCACTTAGGCAGGAAGAACCAGCGGCCAAATGTAAGATGGAGGTCACCTGCAGTGCCAGTAGTACATGTGAAAAGGATCTAGGGGTCGGGAAGAAGATACTATAGCCATATTCATATCTATATATATATATTATTAATTTTAACATATTGATTATCATACATACAACAAAACTTCACTTCTTATTATACAATCTTTTTGGACTTCCATCAGCACCTCTGATGATCCACCATTCTTATCACTTCTTCTGCATTTCTTAAATTCATATTGCCTTTAATTATCTTAACTAACAATTCTCCTCTTTACCATTTTTGCAATGATTCAAATAATTTACCTCACAAAACTTCTTGCAAACCTACAAGCGTAATCTGATCGTCACAATTCCTTTTCAAATAGTCCGTAAATTTACACCAGTCTTCTGTGAATCTCTGGTCCCGCAGGTTTCGAATTCTTCCTCTTAATTTGTCTAATTCTGCATAGTCCATCAGTTTCATTCTCCATTCTTCTTTTGTCGGTAGTTCTTCTTGCTTCCAATTTTGTGCCAATAATATTCTCGCTGCCGTCATTGCATATAAAAATAATTTACAATCCTATCTCTTTATATCATCTCCTACAATGCCAAGTAAAAATGCTTCTGGTTTCTTAATAAATGTATATTTCAACATTTTTTTCATCTCATTATATATCATTTCCCAGAAGTTTTTCACTTTTTTACATTCCCACCACATATGATAAAAGGCTCCTTCTTTTTCTTTACATTTCCAACATTTATTGCTCACTTTATACATTTTAGCTAATTTAACAGGTGTAATATACCATCTATACATCGTTTTCATCACATTTTCTTTTAAGGCATATTCAAATATATAAAGGGCTGTCACACGGAGAATGGAGCAAGCTTGTTTTCTCCTGCTCTGGAGGCTAGGGCTTGAACTGAAGAAGCAGAGATTCCAACTAAACGCCAGGAATAACTTTCTGGTGGCAAGAACAGTTGGACGATGTAACAGACCCCCTCTTGAAGACTCTCCTTCCTTGGAGGTTTCTCAGCAGAGGTTGGATGGCCATCTGTCATGAACACTTTAGTTGAGATTCCTGCATTGCAGGGGGTTGGACTAGATGACCCTCAGGGTCCCTTCCAACTCTACAATATACGTCAGTGACGTATCCATCCGATTCTGAGCACAGGTATTTTCAACTTCTGAGCCCCTCTGGGCCAAAGGCAGAAAGCCCAGCCAGCAGCCAAACGTAGCCTCCAGCTGTGGTTCCCACAGCGCAGCAACCCGGCAAAGGGGATGCAGCAAGGAAAACCACCGTCACCTCTCTGCTGGGAAGCGCTGAGCAAAGGCGAGTCCCCAGGCAACGCAGCCGATTTGATCGAGGCATGCAAGCTCCACCTCCCAGTCGTTCTTAGACTCCTTATTGGGTGAGCAACGCAGCCAAGCAACACAGTTGGAGCCTCCCTCCTCCCTGGCCGGCAGGGAGGGAGGGAGAGGAGCTGCTTCCTTTGAAACCCGGGAAATTTAAGGGACATCATCAATAAGGGACAGCAGTGGGAAACGGCACTGGGATAAGGGAGTTTCCCGCCAAGTAAGGGACGGTTGACAGCTATGGACCAGAGGGGGCTTGGAACAGTTTTGTTTCTTGGTGTTCATGGGAAGTCAGAGCTTTGAGAGGGACTTGGAACGAACCATTTCGGAAAGTCCTGCTGTATAGTTTGCAACCATTTTATTAACTGGCTTATAAGTGTAACTGGTCAAAATCCAGAATCAAATATTTAAGGATGTAAGATGAAAACAATGTGGCTTCAAAATAATAATAAATTTTTTGTGTGGAACACTTTTAAGCAGGCAGAAGACGATTGCCAGTAAACTGTCAGTCACTTTGTCTTTTATATTTTGCTTGGGCCAGTCAGCAATTTGGTGTAGGATGTTAGTCATAACGAAAGTAAATATGTGGGAGGATGTATGCAGCAGATGAAATATACAGTGCTTAAATTTGGATCCTGGGTTCTAACAACACATATCAAGTTGCTTTGTAATTACGAACAAAGCTTTTCAGCCCCAAATAGTCAACAAAAAGAGACCTGAATCCCAGCTGGCAGTAAGCAGGATTCTTGATATCATGGTAGGATTTACCAACCACCACTTCTTCACCTCCATATTTGGCAAATTTCTGTATACAGTGGCACCTTGGTTCTCAAACTTAATCCGTTCCGGAGTCCGTTCCAAAACCAAAACGTTCCTAAACCAAGGTGCGCTTTCCCATAGAAAGTAATGCAAAACGGATTAATCCATTCCAGACCTTTAAAAACAAGCCCTAAAACATCAATTTAACATGAAATTTACTATTTAACAAGACGACTGAACTAGAAAATGAAAGCAATAATGAATGTACTATAAAATAAATAAGACAGTATTGTAGATGATAAAATTAAAATTTAAAAAAATTCTTATCTGCACTGATGATAGTCATCGCTTTTATCCATTGCCGCAGTCACACAATCAATCAATCAATCAGTAGCTGAACTGGGTTCCACACAGTCACAAAAACAAATCAACCGAAAAAGCCTCAAAAACAAAAACAAAAAAAATAGCAAAAACAAAAGCGCCAAATACAGTTTTTGAACTTAATCCATTCCAGAAGTCCATTTGACTTCTGAAATGTTGGAAAACCAAGGCGCAACTTCTGATTGGTGCAGGCGCCCTGGAAACAATAGCTGACAGCTGCATTGGACATTCAGCTTCCAGAAAAACGTTCGAAAACTGGAAGATTCTGGGTTTTCGGAGTTTGAGAACCAAGGTACCACTGTATTTTTATTGCACCTTCTCAGTTTTTAACTTGCCATGCCTTTCTATGTAAGTTTTGGTGTGTCTTTTTGGTTTTGTTTGTTTTAAAAAGAAGTGCTTAAACTAATGTAATTTGAGTATCTGAATGGAGACATGAACTATTACACAGGGAAGAGATATGGTATGTGGTTGTGTCTAAGAGACTGAGCTCCGGGTTGGCAAGCCCCTGGTTTGAATCTCGCTCTTCCTGTGAACTTGGAAAGGTTCCTTAGACAAGCCCTTTTCTCCCTGCCCCTGCAAATGCACATTTGCATCGTAGGAATAATAATGACCCGTCTTCTTGTTGTTGTTTAGTCATTTAGTCGTGTCCGACTCTTCGTGACCCCATGGACCAGAGCACGCCAGGCCCTCCTGTCTTCCACTGCCTCCCGCAGTTTGGTCATGCTGGTAGCTTCGAGAACACTATCCAACCATCTCGTTCTCTGTCGTCCCCTTCTCCTTGTGCGCTCCATCTTTCCCAACATCAGCGTCTTTTCCAGGGAGTCTTCTCTTCTCATGAGGTGGCCAAAGTATTGGAGCCTCAGCTTCACGATCTGTCCTTCCAGTGAGCACTCAGGGCTGATTTCCTTCAGAATGGATAGGTTTGTACTTCTTGCAGTCCATGGGACTCTCCAGAGTCTCCTCCAGCACCATAATTCAAAAGCATCAATTCTTCGGCGAACAGCCTTCTTGATGGTCCAGCTCTCACTTCCATACATCACTACTGGGAAAACCATAGCTTTTACTATATGGACCTTTGTTGACAAGGGGATGTCTCTACTTTTTAAGATGCTGTCTAGGTTTGTCATTGCTTTTCTCCCAAGAAGCAGGCGTCTTTTAATTTCGTGGCTGCTGTCACCATCTGCAATGACCCGCCTTACAAAGTTGTAAATATTGCTACAGTGGTATCTTGTTTCTCAAACTTAATCTGTTCTGGGAGTCCGTTCGACTCCCAAAACCGTTCGAAAACCAAGGCGTGGCTTCTGATTGGCTGCGGGAGCTTCCTGCACTCAAGCAGAAGCCGCGGCGGACGTTCAGCTTCCGAAAAAGGTTCGCAAACCGGAACACATACTTCCGGGTTTGCGGCATTCGGGAGCCGATTTGTTCGACAACTAAGCCGTTCAGGAACCAAGGTCCCACTGTGTAGGAAGCCCTCTGAACACTCTATTTTTATTTTTTAAAAAGTTTTTATTATTAAACTAATTCAGCATTAATACACACATATTGTGAATATACAAGCATACAAACATACATTTCATAGAATCCTTAAATATATACAAACATACCTACATTCAGTCCCACAGATAATTCCTTTTCCCTTCACCATCCACCACCCCTCACCCCACCTTTGTGTTAGACTTCCAATCTACTCAATTGCAATTTCTTTCCACTTCTGTTGCTTTCTTTCACACACCTTTAACCTAATTTCATGCTTCTTTTTCTATTACACATTGTTATCCATCTTATTTAGTATTTCAGTATTTAAAACGGAACTTGTTTATTCTAATAGGAGTTCTGATTTTTCGATATGGTTTTGCAAGTATCCTTTAAACACCTTCCAGTCCCTGTCTATCTTCTCTTTTGAGATCCTTCCAATTTCTCCCATTGTTTTGGATATATTGTAATACTCCAATAATTTGGCAAGCCACTCTGTTTTTGTTGGTATAATACCACTTTTTCAATTTTTCGCCATCAGTAGCCTTGCGGCTACTGTTGCGTATAAATATAATGTCTTGTCTTCTTCCTGGTACTATTCCCAATAGAAAACCTTCTGGTGTCTTCCTAAATGAATATCTGAACATTTTTTTCATTTCGTTATATATTGTTTCCCAAAATTGTTTGATGTTTAAACAATTCCACCATATATGCATCATAGTACCTTTTCCAATGTTGCATCGCCAGCAAACATCGGTACAATTTTTATTCATTTTTGCTATTCTTTCAGGTGTTAAATACCATCTATGTTGTATTTTGAGGTAATTTTCTTTCAATATATAACACATAGTGAATTTCCTATCTTCTTTCCACAATTTTCCCCATTCTTCAAACATAATATTTTCCCCAATATCTTGCGCCCATTTAATCATGGATTCTTTAACCAGTTCATCCTTTGTTTACCACTCTTAAGATCAGATTATACAATTTAGATATTTTTTTTTATTTTTCTTGTATTAAGTATTTATCGAATTTTGATATTTCTTTTTCAAATCCTAACTTGAACGCTCTAAAGCACTGTATGAACATCATATGGTTCGGTTCGGCTTATCACAGTTCTGAAACTTCCGTCTTCTTTCCCGTTTCAATTTAGAAGTAGACATCGAAGGAATGGAATTCCCACCAGCTGAAATGGACAGTAGCAGAAGTCCCAGCGATGCGGAAGACAGTTTGCAAGGGAGCTCGAGCGACAGCGGCTACACACATTCGCACAGACTCAATGCCAGGCTTCTGTAGCATCGAAGGGCACCGCTCAACTCAGGACGTTCTGACTAAAGCACTTACACGAAATATGCCGGACTGCCATTCTTCCAGAAAACCTCAGCCCACAGTAATCTGAAAGGAGGTTTCGTGCCCAGGGTTCGCCGAACGACGATTGGTATATTCAATAAATTGCAAATCATGTTTTTTTTCTACAAAATGTGATTAGATACACTTGCGGCTTAAAGTCCTTTATTGTAGCCATTGTACACACTGTTAGTTCTGGGTGGGTGGGTGTGTGCTTTTAAAAAATATTTTAAAATACAAAGTGGGCATAGCAAATATTTACACACGAAGATGGAGATTTTCTGTTAGCCACTCAAAAATGGGTTTGTCTCTGGCAATAGGAACTTCTGTAGCCGAAACGGCGCGTTAAAAGGCTCGTCCACAGTTCCGCTTGCCACAACAGTCTTTCCCAGGAAAACCTGCTTTTTACCGCTGAATCTGATTGGGATTTCTCTGAATTAAGAGTGGGTTTTCCAGGAGAAAGTGGCATGGCAAAGGCAAAACTGCTCAGACCCTCGTTCTTTGGATTTTGGCTATAGTGGACCAAGGATTGAAAAGTTAGTGGGGAGGATATACTTTTTTAAAAGTACATTATCATTTTACCAAAAAAAACCCCAACAACTTTGGTTAGCAAATATTCCTATAGGAGAAGTTCTTTCGATATTTTTGAGACACACACACACAAAATGTATATTCTCTTGATTTATCATCAAGCGTACTGTTCATCTTCAAAAGATGAGGGGAAAGCTGATTCGAATCAGGACTTAATGTGCAATGACCCTAGCTTTCTATGTTTTTATATAGTGACTTAACTCCGGAAGAAAATAAATCGTGTTTGCTTGCACATGTAAAAAAACAAAACACTCTGCTAACTTTTGAGGGTCAGGATTATTGTGCACAAAGATTAGTTGCCTCTCATTTGGTGATTTTTAGCAAGGGTTGTTTATTGTACTCCTGTTTTTACTCTCCACGAAATGCTTTGACCGCGTATGTAGCACTCGGCCCTCAGGATTTTCATGTTTTGTATTTGCATTTATTCTTCCCGCCTTCTCAGACCGTGATTCTGATGATTGTGCCACATCCAAATGAGTGAATGTCAATTCAGCAGAGGAGGCCCATGTCTGCAGCTGTTACATATCATATATTATGATGCTTATCTAGTTCCTGTTTTAACTGATGGAAGTGTCAGGTGTACATCTCCATTCAGGTCATTTAAGTCTCACGTAGTCAGATGGGACAAGCTGGATTGGGGCCAACACACTCTTTTTTTCCTAATTGATTTTAATGTTTACCATTCAATATTTCAGTATTCTTTGTGAAGGATTCAGAGCTCGAATGAACCAGAGCTGGATTATCAAATAGTTGTTCAGAAGAAAGCAAAACTGTTTGCTTAAGTTTTTTTTAAAAAAAATATTATATTGCTTTCTGCAGCTGCAAATACACTTAAATGGAAGGCATGGCTTTAAATTACAGTATTCATATTAAACCTTTTTCTTTCTTTCTTTTGTATGCTATCATTGGAATTGGAATTCCTTACAAAATGCAAAGAAAACGCTGTAAAATTGCATCGTTTATTTAGCGTTCATCAATATGTTTAGAATATAATTACCCCGATTGTAGCAATACTGCAACCTTGCCTTTTAATACACTTTAAGCTTAGTGAAGTCATTAGAGTTTGGCTTGCTGGTAATTAAAAATGGACCAATCTTTGCATCGCTACTTTAAGGTCTTTTTTAAATAAATGAAAAAGATTAAAAGCTATATAGACTTTAGACATGTTATATTGCCTGTAAATACATTTCCTATTAAATACTCTGTATTATATTTTTCCTAACTCTTCCCATTTGCTCATATAGAGAAAGGGAATAGTTACATACCTGAATCGGAGTCTCAGGGACTCTTCACCTTAGTCAAATTGTGCCTTGGTGACCATTGATCTATTCCTTTTCCTTTCCTTTTTTTTAAACCTTAGTGTGATTACTTCATAAGCACCAGTCAGCATGTTTGAGTGTATCATCTTGCTGAAGGTGAAGCTCTGAGACCTCTTGGTTTTTTTTAAAAAAAGATACTTTTAGTGCAGGGAAAATAATCATTCCAACGCCTATACCCAATAATTTAACCCCACTTTAAAAATGTGTAATATTCATGCGTCTCGGATCGGTGGCTTCCAAGAAAGCCATATAAACCCTGTTCCAGAAGTCCATGTGTTCAGATGCACATAAGGATATTTTCTGCTCCTGATTTAAACGGAGAGGGGTCACTCTGTGAGAAAACTATTCTTTCCGTTTAAATTAATTGGGAGACTCGCTCTAGGGACAGGGATCTACTGAGTAGACCGCAGGATCAGGGCCATGCTGTCAGCTGCTACAACCTAAGGCCGCAATTGAATAGTTTTAGCGTTGAACTAAATTTTATACGGCAATGAACCGGTGAGAAGGGTGAAACAAAATATTTTGGGTGCCTTTCTCACATCCCAGAGGCACCCTAGGGCAAGACCTGCCCCCATCACTGCCAGCTCCTGCTTCTGAGCATCAGTAAACCTTTCCCCTTTCCTTCCTGCTATTTTCAAACTGGGGGTTAACAAGTGGGAATTTTAATATTTTTTAAATCAGGCAGCCTAGACATAGACGGAGGCAGGCATGCTGGTGTTCCGCTCTTCGTTCTGCCAGCTCAAGTCCCAGCAGGATGTAGGGCAAAGCATTTTCAAAACACACCTTAAGATTGCAGCCTTTGCTGCTTCCTTTAATACTCAGCGTATTATTTTCCCCGTGGTGCTCACAATGCAGAAAACAAAAGGTCGGCTATACTTTTGGCAGCTTACAGGCCTTGTTAGCCCAGAACTTGCTAACCAAACCAGGCTGCTTCAAAAGCAGCCATCTATTTTGTAGTCATCCCTCCTTTAACCAGGGGGAAGACGCCTAAAGCTATAAACCGGCAGCTAAATTGGAAATAAACCTCTGTTAATGCTCTTGCATTGTACACTTTGCATATGATTAAAACCTTTCGTGAGAAAAGATACACAGCAATATAAGCATTGTGTGTAGTGGAAAGCAGCATTAATTACTAGCTCCTCTTGATTGCATTTAATGTTGAAAATCATGATATCTATTTTTTAGAAGTTTACTTTAACTGTTACTGGGGAAAACAGTTGCGTTGTTGTGTTTCTTTTACTATATAATGAATGGATTCATGGCTTGTAAAATGTTGGCTTTCATGAAAAAGCAGCTCTTGCACAGAACATTTCAAACATAAAAATCTGAGCGAATGGAAAAGAGATCTCATGTAAAACATTGTTGACTTGATGCTACTCTTTAAAAATAATAATGAATGTGTACAATTTAATGAACTCTTCCATGCTGGGTATAAGTGGCTTTGTATATCTTTTATATTTTCAATAAAGATTACTCCAGTATTCTAAGTTGCATATAAAAAGGTTTTCCTGGTTTCTTCTTGTTCAATCATTGCTGCGATAACTTCTAGCAAAGCCAAGGCATATTCAGAAATTCCCTAAACGTTTTCAGGTAGCAAAGCTTAACTTAGGACACAGAGTTGCAAAGTCTTCCGTGCATAAGTGGAATTTCCTAAGGAACACTTCCCCACGATGTTTTGATACGCAACTGCCATCATTCCCAGCCACCATGGCCTGTGGTTGCTAAGGGCAGGCGAATCTTGTCCATTTTGGTTTCTCACCATGTCTCAACACCACATCACTCTAAAGTTCCGTTCTTGACATTTCCACATCAGTGCGAATTTTTCAAAGGTACAGGTAGGTAGCCGTGTTGGTCTGCCATAGTCGAAACTAAATAAAAAAATTCTTTCCAGTAGCACCTTAAGGTAAAGGGACCCCTGACCATTAGGTCCAGTTGTGACTGACTCTGGGGTTGCGGCGCTCATCTCGCTTTATTGGCCGAGGGAGCCGGCGTACAGCTTCCGGGTCATGTGGCCAGCATGACTAAGCTGCTTCTGGCGAACCAGAGCAGCGCACGGAAACGCCATTTACCTTCCCGCTGGAGCGGTACCTATTTATCTACTTGCACTTTGACGTGCTTTCGAACTGCTAGGTTGGCAGGAGCTGGGATCGAGCAACAGGAGCTCACCCCGTCGCGGGGATTCGAACTGCCGACCTTCTGATCGTCAAGTCCTAGACTCTCTGGTTTAACCCACAGCGCTACCCGCATCCTGACAGCGCCACCCGCGTCCCAGTAGCACCTTAGAGACCAACTAAGTTTGTTATTGGTATGAGCTTTCGTCTGCATGCACACTTCTTCGGATACACTGAAACAGAAGTCACCAGACCCTTATATATAGTGAGAGGGTGGGGAGGGGTATTGCTCAGAAGGGTGGTGGGAATGGGTGATTGGCTGATAGGTGTGGTAAACCTGTTGACGACTGTTAACTGCATTTGGTCTTACAGGAAAAAGCAAGGGGTGAAATGGCTAAAAATAGCTTTATCGTGTATAATGAGATAAGAATTCAATGTCTCTATTCAGACCGGGTCTCTCCATGGTTTTAAGTTTGGTAATAAGTTGCAATTCAGCAACTGCTTTTTCCAGTCTATTTCTGAAATTCTTTTGTAATAAGACAGCTACTTTGAGATCTTGTATAGAATGTCCTGGGAGATTGAAGTGTTCTGAAGGCAGCCCTGTTTAGGGAAGCTTTTAATGTTTGATGTATTATAGTAATTTAATATTTTTTTGGAAGCCGCCCAGAGTGGCTGGGGAAGCCCAGCCAGATGGGCGGGGTATAAATAATAAATTATTATTATTATTATTATTATTATTATTATTATTATTCTCCTACTGGTGTCTCTGTCTTGTGATTCCTGAATTTTTCAAAGGAAATCTTCATGAAAACTCAAAAGCATCTTAGCGTTCATTTCTCTTCATGGCAGGTCTCCTGTGGTGCCATTTCCCCTCATATACACATTTATTTCCCCTAAAACAGTGCGTTTTTGGATGTCTTCAACAATGCATTTTACGTGGCTGGAAAACGATTGCAAAAATTCAAATGTCAAAGGATGGCTGTGTTTTGGTTCTTGTTCAGGAAAGTGCTGGTTAGGCAAGTCTGCCTTAAGATGCGAAACGAAATGAATTTCCTCTCCCGACCGGTGGTGCTTCGTGAATTCAACAGGATTTCTTCATGCCGATAGAGGTTCTGACAGCAGCTCTGAAAACCATGGTTCTAAATTGCATGGGGAATCCTCAACCTCTCCCTTGATTGTTTACTTAATCTAAAATAAGAGCGCCTGCAGAGGGATTGTCTTGCACTTAAATCTCTAGAAATCTTTTGTGTGCTTTATAAACAACAGCTAGCAAAAGCCCACTTCCTTGTGACTTCAAGGTTGATGAATCCTTTTGGAGCCTTGGCCTAATCCCCTTTTGTCTCTCTGACCCACAGACTCCTATCTCCCAAACTTCCATGGTCTTTTTACTTCTCCCATGTCTGTCCAGTATGAAGTTGTGACCTGGCTCTGCTTTCTCCTTAGGTCTCTCCCATCTCTGTCCCAACCACACCTTTTCCCCTCAGGTTCTTTGCCCCATTTCCCTTAGCTGCTGGTTTTGGCCAGGGCTTTCCCAAGATGTTTTGGCACCTGAAGTCGAAATCAGTATGGACCAATGCAATGTGCTCTACGTGGGGCTACCTTTGAAGGTGACCTGGAAACTGCAACTAATCCAGAATGCGGCAGCTAGACTGGTGACTGGGAGCGGCCGCCGAGACCACATAACACCGGTCTTGAAAGACCTACATTGGCTCCCAGTACGTTTCTGGGCACAATTCAAAGTGTTGGTGCTGACCTTTAAAGCCCTAAACGGCCTCGGTCCAGTATACCTGAAGGAGCGTCTCCGCCCTCATTGTTTAGCCCGGACACTGAGGTCCAGCTCCAAGGGCCTTCTGGCGGTTCCCTCGCTGCGAGAAGTGAGGTTACAGGGAACCAGGCAGAGGGCCTTATCGGTAGTGGCACCCTCCCATCAGATGTCAAGGAAATAAACACTTTTAGAATACATCTGAAGGCAGCCCTGTTTAGGGATGTTTTAAATGTTTGGTGTTTTTAATATCCTGTTGGAAACCACCCAGAGTGGCTGGGGAGGCCGGCCAGATGGGCGGAGTATTATTATTATTATTATTATTATTATTATTATTATTATTATTGCCCCACAAAGTGGTGCCTCCCCTACCCCACCCCCAGCCAGGGAATAAGGGATGAGTGAAGATCTACACCAGGAACAAGGAGGGAATGAGGCCAGCAGGACCTCCTCTTCGCCAAAACCCTCTGTAGATATGGCATTGGACGGCTGCTAAGGAGGAGGAGGCAGAGGGGCAGCAACAGTAGCAGTGGGCAATGCATTCCTTGGAGGCAGGATCTGCTGCCCCTGTGGATCCTGCCGCCTGAGGCAGTTACCTCACCTTGCCTCATAGGTGAGCTGGCCCGGGTCCTAGCAGTACTGTTGCCCCGCCAGTTTCTCCTACTTGTGCAGTGTTATGTCCTGAGTTGAATAGGATCCAAAAGGCAGCAGTCTGATTGGTCCTAGAACAATGCAGCAGTCTGATTGGTCCTAGAACAATGCAGCAGTCTGATTGGTCCTAGAACAATGCAGCAGTCTGATTGGTCCGCAGGAGCCACCCCATCCAGCTCCAGGTGGAAGTGAATCCGCAACCTGATTGGCCTACAGGAGAATCCCGGAATTAGCCAATCACCTGCAGCCCATTGTGTAAATAATGTATATAAAGCAGATATTGTGGGGGAACTTCCATTCCTCCTCACCACTATGAGCTGAATAAAGAGCATGAAATCCACTCTCGACTCCAAGTATATTTCATGCAGTCTAACCGAACAACCGTCTCCTTCAGCTCCCAGTTCTCCTCAACAGCCTGCCTGGCGTTCCTCTCTTCCCACCTCCCCTGCAAATGAACACCCTGTGAATTTCACATATTGATTTCGACCAGCCAACCCAATCGTCGTTTGTGTAATCCTTAGGAAATCAGGGTGATGTACTTCAGGCAGAGGTAAATTTCCTTATTGGCTGGTGCTGATTCCTTACCGAATTGCTAGGCAACAGCTCTCGGCAGGACCCATAATCCCCTGCATGTGAATTTTCAAACTTAATTCCACTTCCCTTGGTTCCAAGCCAAAGGTCGTAGCATTTCGCTGCAGCCAGAGCAATTAGCAAGGAGCTGCTTCCTCACGCGGCTGAATTACAGCAAGCGATAAATGAAAAATTACCATATCGACCCCTTGGCAACACAACCAATCTAAGTAGAACGGCCATTAAGACACATCTTTCCTGAGGCTCCTAAGCTTTCTCAGTATCTTGTTTCATGCAATGAAAGGCAATACTGAAACAAGCCGGGCAAAATAATTATTACTCGTCGTTTAATATACATGGGGCTTCCCCCTCCTCCCCATAGTGCTGAAAAGCTCGGTACAAACATGGTGGAATGCCCCAGGAAGGGAGGGAGATCTGTCATGATGCTTCAAATTAAGAAGACAAAACACATGCGGGAAGGGACTGAGGGGGAAGGCAGAGAAGGGAGATCATAGAATCATAGAGTTGGAATAGACCACAAGGGCCATCGAGTCCAACCCCCTGCCAAGCAGGAAACACCATCAGAGCACTCCTGACATATGGTTGTCAAGCCTCTGCTTAAAGACCTCCAAAGAAGGAGACTCCACCACACTCCTTGGCAGCAAATTCCACTGTCGAACAGCTCTTACTGTCAGAAAGTTCTTCCTAATCTTTAGGTGGAATCTTCTTTCTTGTAGTTTGGATCCATTGCTCCGTGTCCGCTTCTCTGGAGCAGCAGAAAACAACCTTTCTCCCTCCTCTATGTGACATCCTTTTATATATTTGAACATGGCTATCATATCACCCCTTAACCTCCTCTTCTCCAGGCTAAACATGCCCAGCTCCCTTAGCCGTTCCTCATAAGGCATCGTTTCCAGGCCTTTGACCATTTTGGTTGCCCTCCTCTGGACACGTTCCAGTTTGTCAGTGTCCTTCTTGAACTGTGGTGCCCAGAACTGGACACAGTACTCCAGGTGAGATCTGACCAGAGCAGAATACAGTGGCACTATTACTTCCCTTGATCTAGATGCTATACTCCTATTGATGCAGCCCAGAATTGCATTGGCTTTTTTAGCTGCCGCGTCACACTGTTGGCTCATGTCAAGTTTGTGGTCAACCAAGACTCCTAGATCCTTTTCACATGTACTGCTCTCAAGCCAGGTGTCCCCCATCTTGTATTTGTGCCTCTCATTTTTTTTGCCCAAGTTCTTCAAGGCCAGAATAAAGGGGCGAGCTATTTCCTGCATTGCTGGGGGTTGGACAAGATAATAATAATAATAATAATAATAATAATAATAATAATAATAATAATAATAAATTTCAACATTTGAAATATACATTTATTAAAAAACCAGAAGCT